ATATATTCTGTGAAGCACTTTGAGACGTCTTGACAACATGATAAGGCGCTGTATCAAATGCAAGGATTATTATCATTGCTGTTATTATTACCATTTCTATTGTTTATTATTATTGTTATATTATTATTGTTATTATTATTGTTATATTATTATTGTTATTATTACTGTTATATTATTGTTATTATTATTGTTATTACTGTTATTCTATTGTTATTATTACTGTTATATTATTATTATTACTGTTATTATATTATTGTTACTATTATTACTGTTATTATATTATTATTGATCAGGAGCTAGAAAAAGACATCACTGAGTTCCTCACAACAATGACAGGGAAACCACCTCAGGTTCAGGTCAATGAAGTGACGATGAACATTCGCATTAAAGGTTACTTTGATTCCGAGCTGAAATCGTGGCTGATGGAGAAAGGATTCTGACGTCACATCTGGGCTGAAAGACCCGTTTCTGCTCATTGTGTGGAACAGCAAGATCAGCCTGGCCTCGGGTGTGGAAATATCTATTGAAACTGACAACAAATCAATGATTTCCTTTTGTGTGTTTGTGTGAGTTATTCTATTTTCAAGTCCCCATGTCAAGACTTGGAATCACAGTTGAAGCTGACGATCCAATGCAGTGCTGGACGGTGTTGCTTTGTCAGAGACACCGTCCGTCAGATGAGACGTTAAAACGAGCTTCCACCTGCATGTTCAGGTGGACATTAAAAATCTCCTGCGGCACTATTGGAATAGAGAAGGGAGTTTCTCTCCCTCTCTGTCTCTCTCTCGTCCCCGTGTCAATAATCCCCCAAATAAAATTTGTCGCTCACTCCATAGGTATTTGTGGGAAACTGCTGTGTACACATTGTGCTGTCGTACCTACCTCCAAATACAGTCACTACACTTTACAATATATTCTGTGAAGTGCTTTGAGTTTGTCTCAAGAACCCGTTACGGCTCTGTGTCAAATACATAGATTTTTTATTAATAATAAACAGTGATATTAATGTTTAGATACTCAGTGATTTATTAATTTGGGATAGAAAGTGCGATTGGTATTTGTGTGTCGAGCTGTGAAATGTGACCAGGCAGCTTTGAGTGAGAGAGAGATAGAGAGAGAGAGGTCACGGGGGGACAGAGCTCAGAGTGTGAAATAGAGAGGTCACATAGGGTCAGATAGTCTGTGTCATCAGCGAGGGGGGAGGTGTTTCCCGCAGAGAGATCTCCTCATTCTTGGGCTCGCTTTCCTTTTGCATCTTTTTTTTCCAGCTGGAGAGGAAATCACAAGATTGATACCTCGTTATGGTATGGCAACTCATGTTCAGCGGTCAGCAATGTCAGGAGCAGTTTATTTGGCCACCCGGGGGTCTAACACACACGGAAACCAATCTCCATGCTTCAAGAGTCTCCAATCCCAACTGAGATTTCCATTCATCCCATCTACGCTTGGAAATCCCAGAGATAGATTGTTGGGATGGAAGCCTTTGGATTATGGCTGGATCCATCTACATTGTACAGATTAATGTTTTACATTTTTTTGAAGGAATTTCGTTGGGATTTGTTTGTTAGGTCAGGTTGTCAAGGAATACGGGCAAAGGCGGGTAATTGGAGTTGAGGTACAGATCAGCCATGATCTTATAGAATGGTGGAACAGGCTCAAGGGGCTGATTGGCCTCCTCCTGTTCTATGTCTCACATACCTGCTCTCCACCCCCTCAATCGATTCTGGCAAAGGAATGTTCAACGTTTCCCGGAGGAAAAAGGCCACAATCCCAGCGAGGACGGCAACTCCACCGTATATTGCCATCGGCAAAAAGGAAACGTAATCACCAGTCATCTTCACCAGCGGGGCCACCATGGATCCAATCCTGGCCATCGAACTGACCAGCCCCATCCCTGTCTGCCTGCAGCCGTGCCCAATATAATCAATCAATCAATCAGTCAGTCAATCTATTAACCCACTAGTCAAACAATAATAACAATAATAATATTGGCATTTGGTAAAGCACTTTATCATGTCTTCAACCCTGTCTTAAGATGGGGTCTTATTATCAGGAGTTAGTGTGCGACAGCGCCATGTGTCTTGTTATCAGGAGTTAGTGTGTGATAGGGACACGGCTACACACCTGACCACAGTAGGGTACAGTTCTCCTGCGTGTAAATAGGCGCAGCTGAAACTAGCTGCAAGACATCCTTTCCCAATCGCAGCGAATGAGGTGCGTAAATTGCTCATTTCTGGAGGAGAAATGGACAATAATAATAATAATAATAATAATCCTTGCATTTGATGTAGCGCTTTTTTTTCACGTCTTCTGTCTCAAAGTGCTTTACAGAATATGCTGTAAAGTGAATTGACTGAATATTTGTGGGCGAAACGCGGCAGCCAATTGCGCACAGCAGTGTTCCACGAACGGTCGTGGATTAAAAATGACCAATTTATTATTGTTTTGTTGGAGTGATTATTATCAGGCGTGTGGAGTAAGGAAACTTGCCCAAGGTTTCGCCCTCTGCCCGGAATTGAATCCAGGTATCTCGCTTGCAAGACGAGTGCTCTAACCACTGAGCTACAGGACTGCACAAGGACAATGAGCATAACTGGCAATAATAACAATAACAACAGTAATAATAATCCTGACTTTTGACCCAGCGCATTATCACATCTTTGAGATGTTTCAAAGCGCTTCACAGGATACACTGTAAAGTGTAGTGAATGTATATTTTGTGGGCAAAACGCAGCAGCCAATTTGAACACCCTCAGCCTCTTGTGAGGAAGAAGAGAAGGTAGTGGATGGAGGGAGGGAGAATGAAGGGAGAGGGTGGGTGGAGGGAAGGAGGATGGATGGGTGGAGGGAGTATGAAGGGAGGAGGGAGTGAAGATGGAGGGAGGAGGGAGGGAGCGTGACCCCCTACCTTGAGGAATGAAGATGTTGATGATGATAATGGTGCCGGCCAAGATGAGAGACGAGCCCTGAGTAAACCGTCGCCCAATCAGACTCATGGTAGCGACACCAACCAATTTAGCTGGAATATCAACAGCAGCGAAGATCATCTGAATCAGATAAATGTTCACCCCGAAACCTTGCAGGTCTATGGATAATCCATAATAGGCGAAACTCACTGAGAACCTGGGTGGAGAACAGAACGTAAGATGAAAGAAGACCAAGGACCATCTCCACTATCCTAGCCTTTGCTTGAAATGTGTCCCAAACAATGGAGTCCTGTAGTATAGTGATTAGTGAGAGGACGCCGGTTTGATTCCCAGGCGGGTCAGGGCGAAATCTTAAGCAAGTTTCCTTACTGCACACACACGCCACTGTTTGCCAGCAGTAAGTAGGAACCTGGTTTAGTCGATCGGCGGATCGCTTTCCGGAGATAATAACCCCTCAAATAAATGTTGGTCACGCAATGCTCGACTGTGTGTGGGACACTGCTGTGCAAACACTGCCACTACACTTTACAGTATATTCTGTGAAGCGCTTTGAGACATGTCAACGATGTGATAAGGTGCTGTATTAAATGCAAGGATTATTATTATAATTATTATAGTTTGGGACACGACATGTCTCGTGACTGCCAGGATAGTGGAACGGCAAACTGGATGGAACTTGTCTTCTTTTGTCTAGTAATTCTTAATGTTCTCAGGCCAACAACTTACCAAACTACCATCGTGCAACAGGCCGTCCTTCGCATGACGGGGGTGTGGAACAGGTCGGTCACACTGTAACCAGTCTTGCATTTTGAAAGTTCTTTTTCCATATGTGACTTAACAATCTGTGGGGAAATACAACCATCATATAATAATAATAATAATGCTTGCATTTGATATAGTGTCATTGAGACATCTCAAAGTGCTTCACTGTAAAGTGTAGTTACTTTGTATTTTTGTGGGCAAAACACACCAGCCAATTGCACACAGCAGTGTCCCACGAACAGTTATAAGAATAAGAATAATCCTTGCATTTGATATAGCGCTTTTCACATCTTCTCGACGTCTCAAAGTACTTCACAGAATATGCTGTAAAGTGAATTGACAGAATATTTATGGGCGAACACGGCAGCCAATTGCGCACAGCAGTGTCCCACAAACAGTCGTGGATTAAAAATGACCAATTTATTATTGTTTTGTTTTGGAGGGATTATTATTAGGCTCTGTGTGGAGTAAGGAAACTTGCCCAAGGTTTCGCATGGAATTGAACCCAGGTCTCCGCTTGCAAAGCGAGTGCTCTAACCACTGAGCTACAGGACTCCACCTGAGCTACAGCACTGATTGCAATACCACAAGTGAAACCAATACAACACGGTTTTACAGCTCAAATAGGTGGTTCCTATTGGTGACCGAGACTTCACGGAGAAACACGAGTATAAGACAGTGACTGGAGGATTGAGGATTGAATTCTCTAAATAGAGAATTTAGAAGGAACTTCTTCAGACAGAGGGCAGCACTATGCAGAACTCACTCCCACAAGTGGCAATTGAAGCAGATAATACAGATAGATTTACATCACTATAATAACCCCTGAAGCTCTCAGCCCCTGAAGTTCGCAGCCCCTGAAGCTCTCAGCCCCTGAAGCTTTCGCCCTGCCTGGAAGGACATTGTGTGATCAACATTTATTTGAAAGCGGTCCGCCGATCAACTAACAACCAGGTTCCTACTTACTGCTGGTTAACAAATTTGCCCACAATTCCAGTTGCGGTTTGAGTGAACACATTATTATTATTTATTAATTTTGGTAGGATTATTACTGGGAATTGAACCTTGGTCCTCTCGCTTTAATTATGCTCTGATCACTATGCTAGATGCTGGAAGCAGGAGAGGAATGCGAAACGTGACTGACCGACCCACCCACTCACCCACCCACCGACTCACCGCGGCTGTGAGTTTGCTGCCCTCGGCCTCCCTGCCATTCAGCCTGGCCACTCGCTTCAGCTGGTTCACGGCCACATCGGCTTTGTCGTTCATTATCAGCCATCGTGCCGACTCCGGGAACCACCTGCCAGGGATCGAGGGGTTAACAACGAAGGCACAGACACAGGACACCTCCCTACCTCTCCCACCTCCTTACTCCCCTACCCACTACCCACTGCTCCCGTTCAGCTGGCTCCAGCCTCCTGCTTGTCTCTCGCGCTCTCCATTCCACCATCGCCGGTTTTATGGAATTCTCAGTTGGATTTGGAGACCCTGAAGCTCCATGATGGGTGTCCGTGAGTTTTAGTTATTGCTGAGTGAGATTAGGCTGCTCTCCCCCAACAACAACAACAACAGACATCTACACAACTCCTTTTACATCAGAAAAATGTACCCGGGGGGTGGAGGGCATGAAGGGTGGGGTAGGAGGGTGGGGGCAAGTGGGTGGGGAGATAGGAAGGTGGGAGCAGGAGGGTGGGGGCAGGCGGTTGGGGGTAGGAGGGTGGCCGAAGGCACCATCGAAGAAGAGGGTATTCAGATAGGACCTAAAGGTGGCAAGAGAGGGGGTAATGCAAGGGATTGCGGGATAGAGTTTGGGGGCAGAGATGCTGAATGCCCGACCACCAATGGTGGGGTGGGAAGTGCGGGGACCTGAAACAGGCTGGTGTCCGCCAAGCAGAGGGAGCAGACAGGCTGATCTGGGATGATTAGGTCAGAGAGGTGGGGGGAGCAAGACCTTGGAAGGCTCTTGAAGATAAGAACAAGGGTTTTGTACTTAATTCTCTGTGGGATGGGGAGCCAGTGAAGCCGGGCAAGAACGGGGTTGATAGTCTCCCGGAGCCTGATGCAGGAGAGGACACGAGCTGCAGAGGTTCTGAATGATCTGCAACTTATGGAGGGAAGAGTTGGGAAGTCCAGTGAGCAGGCAGTTGGTGTAGTCAAGCCGGGAAGTAATGAAACCACAGATCAGGGTCTTGGCGACCTGCGGTGAGAGGCAGTGTTAATGGCTGACATTACCAGGAGTATAGGAAGTAGATGAAGAAGGGGGCGGACACTGCGAACTGTAGCCAACGCCAATTCCTTAGTGCGTACGCCAAGCCAACCAGGAGGAACTGCCCAATCGTGTAACTGTAATTATTCAGCGTTGCCACAGACGTCCGCACTTTAGTTGGAATCCATTCAACCGCTGTCGGGAGTTCAGGAAATCAGGAAAGCGTTATTAATAATAATTATAATAATAATAATCCTTGCATTTGTTACAGCGCCTTATCATTTCGCCCACAAATATACGGTCAATTCACTTTGCAGTATATTCTGTGAAGCGCTTTGAGACGTCTCGAAGACGTGAAAAGCGCTATATCAAACGCAAAGATTATTATATTATCATCTTCGAGACAACTCAAAGCGCTTCACAGGTTACAGTGTAATTGACTGTGTATTTTGTGGGCGAAACGCGGCAGCCAATTGCGCACAGCAGCGTCCCCACAAACAGTCGTGGATTGAAGTGACCACATTATTATTGTTATTTTTGGAGGGATTGTCCAATTGTCATGAATTCTGCGAAACGCTTTGAGATGTCTCAAAAGACGTGATGAGGCACTGTGTCAAACGTAAAGGTTATTATTATGATTAACACCACAAACCAGGTAAACGATTGGCGAGTTTTACTCACTGAGAGAGAACGAGTTGAGGATGAGTCCGGACACAGCCACTCCGCACATGAACCTCCAGAAACAGAACAGGGGGAAGCTCGAGGAGAAGGAGCCACAGGTTCCGGTGATCGCCAGCTGTAAGTGAGACCAGAGCAGGATAGGGCGGCGTCCAAACCTGCGGAGAAACACGACAACACGTCAGCGAGAGAGGCCAGGGTTCCCACCTCGCCTTCCCCTGTTTACACGGTCACATTGCGGAGTGTCGTGATTAGAGCACTTGCCTGGTGCTCACCTGTCAGACATTTGGCCCATTACGATGGCTCCCACCAATACTCCGCTCATGTAGATAGATTGTGACATCTGTTTCAGAGATCGCTGATCACACACCAGGTCCCACTGTCGGGGCGAGAACGGCTCAGAGTCACTGACAACACAACAGTCTTACACACTGGGTGAGGAACAATCACCTGATCGCTTTCCTTTTGCCCGGCCGGGTGTCTGACACACACACACACACGGAAACCCATCACTGACCAGCCGGGTGTCTGACACACGTGGAAACCCAGCACTGTGGTTAAAGAGACTCCAAACCCAACTGAAAATTCCATGCATCCCACCTACACATAGAAATGCCAGAGATAGGACGCCCCCCTGCTTACTTAATTCCGGAGAGCATTAGGTGCAGGTTGTGCATTGGGGGTAACTGCTGGGGTCTAACCAGCTAAATCCACACACAGCTTGGCCATCGAGAGAGAGAGGGTCAGAGAGTGCTGTCTGTCTGGCCAAGCTTTCCCGCTGCTTGTCCAGCTGGAACCACCCGACCTGTCAAATCTGATCACTTGTACATGTTCTCTATGTGATAACAAAGACTTTGTGTGTCAGCCTGGCTCAGTCACTCACACTCTCGCCTCCTGGTCAGAAGGTTTGAGCCTCCACGCCAGGAATCACAGTCTAAGCCCAGGCTCCAACCCCGTGCTGGGGCGGGTGGTGTCGCGATGTCAGAGACGCCGTCCTTCGGGTGAGGCTTTAAACTTTAAACTTTCCCCGTCTGCCGAGTTGGGTGGTTGTTAAAGATCTCCCACGGCGACTGCTTGAAAAGAGAAGGGAGTTTCTCTCTCTCTCTCTCCCAGTGTCCTGGCCGACATTCCCCAGATACAAATTGGTCACTCACTTCATGGCTGTTTGTGGGAAATTGCAATCACACAGTCACTACACCTCGCAGTGTATCCTGTGATAACAGTATAAACTGGGTCCTCAGCCTTAAACTACTACTATTAATAATCCTTGTATTTGATATGGTGCCTTTGAGATGCCTCAAACAGTCGTGGATTGAGTGACCAAACTATCAATTATTGTGAAGAGATTATTACACCAGGAAAGCGATCTGTCAATTGACTAACAAGTGGGTTCCTACTTATTGCGAGTGGTGTGGGTGTGTGGAGTAAGGAAACTTGCCCAATGTTTGGCGCTGACATGCCCGGGAATTGAACCCAGATCTTCTCGCTTGTGATGTGAGCCACTGATCTGCAGGGAACTCATGAAGACCTTGAACATAGATGCTCTCTCCTACCTCGGTAATGATGGTGGTGACTGTGACACACACTCACACAGACACACACACACCTCGCTGATGATGCTGCTGGTGACGTCCCCGTGGCTGTACAGCCATCCGTCTGTACACGGCCGTGTGGTGGAGCTGCCGTCCCCGTGGGTGCGGTTGGGATCCAGGAATTGCCACTGAGGCTCAGCAAACAGCCGGCACCTCTCTGGGCGGCCCTCCCTGTCCAAGGGGATGAACACCGGCAGGAGCAGCTCCTCGGCCAGCACTTTGCCCGTCACGTTCCCGGGACTTTGCAGGGAAGCGTTGCCGAGGGCGTCCGCACGGATACGGCAGCGGTGATCAGGAACGACAGCCACAAAGTTCTGGAGCAGGACATGACTCATGCTGGTCAAAGCCGGCAATAATGACAACAAAGTGTATGTGATTTGGAACTTCCCAAAACCTCCAACATCGTCCAGCAGATCATCAAACCCCATCGATCTGTCACTCAGCTTCAGCTGCTACAGACTGAGAGACGCTGAGAGAGAATGTGTGTGTCTGCGTCTGTGTGTGTGTGTGTGTGTACTTGTCTGTGTGTCTGTGTGTGTGAGACTGATAGAGAAGGACTGAGTGTGAGAGAGAGAGCATGTGAGTGAGAGAGACTAACTCAGTCGCTGAGAGAGACAGAGAGAGAGAGAGAGGCTGAGAGTCGGTGTTGACTGAGTGACGGAGCAGGTTACAGAGACTTATTGGCCGAGACGTTGTGTGTGTGTATTTGGCTTTTCAGAGAATTGTTGGATTTAAGCAATGGCTAATCTCGCCGTCACACAGTTACTTTTCTCTCGGAATCTCAGCTAAACTTTAGCATTAATGGAATTGTCTTGAATGTTCCTGGAGGCAGCAGAGGACAGGACGGGGAGTTGGGGTTGGTGGGGCTGAGGGTGGTTCTCACTGACAGTCAAAGGTTCAAGTTTCACCAGCACTGGGTGAGAAATCCAGGTCCATCGATGTCTGATTCCTTCAGGTTAAACATCGCTAGATATTGTTAACTAGCGGACACTTTATCATTGTGTGCAGGTCAACATATCTGTAACATCCTGACTTAGAAGTGAAAGGTTTCTTTACTAATAACTGAGCCAGGCTCACACACACACACACACACACACACACAAGTACCTACAAGCCAACAATAGTAATAGTAGCAATAATAATCCTTGCATTTGACCCGGCGCCTCATCACATCTTCGAGACGTCTCAAAGCACTTTGCAGAATATACAGTGAAGTGTAGTGACTGTATTTTGTGGACGAAACGCGGCAGCCGATTGTGCACAGCAGCGTCCCCACACACAGTTGTGGAGTGAATGAGCAATTTTATTTGGGAGATTGTTGGGCAGACACTGGGAGAGAGAGAGAGAAAGAGAGAGAAACTCAATTCTCTTTTCGAATAACGCCGCAGAAGATCTTCAGTGTCCACTTGAACAGTCGGCCAAGGGAGTGGGTCTAACATCTCATCCGAAGGACAGTAGATCTGACAATGCACCCCCCTCCCCCAGCATTAGAGCATCAGCTTAGGCTGTGTGTTTCCACGTCCAGGTGTGGGGGCTTGAATCCACAACTTTCTGACTCAGACACGCCTACCTTGGTGACGATGGTGGCTGCCACATAGACACACACACACACAGACTTCGGTGATGATGATGGTGGTGGTGACACAGACAGACACACGCAGATACATACACGGACACGCACAGACCTCGCTGATGATGGTGCTGGTGACGTCCCCGTGGCTGTACAGCCATCCATTCGTACACGGCCGTGTGGTGGAGCTGCCGTCCTCGTGGGTGCGGTTGGGATCCAGGAATTGCCACTGAGGCTCAGCAAACAGCCGGCACCTCTCCGGGCGGCCCTCCCTGTCCAGGGGGATGAACACCGGCAGGAGCAGCTCCTCGGCCGGCACTTCGCCCGTCACGTTCCCGGGACTTTGCCGGGAAGCGTTGCCGAGGGCGTCCGCACGGATACGGCAGCGGTGATCAGGAACGGCAGCCACGAAGTTCTGGAGCAGGTTGTGACTGGCCATCATTAACACCGGCAGCGCCAGCAACGTGACGTGAACCATCTGGAACCTTCCAGTGCTCCCCACCATCTCCAGCAGGTCAGTAAATCCCATCGTGGAAAACCTCTGCGTCAGCGGCAGAACAGAACAGAGCATCAGTGAGATTGTTACTGAGAGACACTGTTACTGAGTGAGATAGTTACTGAGAGACATTGTTACTGAGAGACACTGTTACTGGGAGACATTGTTACTGAGAGACATTGTTACTGAGAGATTGTTACTGAGAGACATTGTTACTGAGAGATTGTTACTGAGAGACACTGTTACTGAGAGACATTGTTACTGAGAGACATTGTTACTGAGGGACACTTACTGAGAGAGATTGTTACTGAGAGACATTGTTACTGAGAGACACTGTTACTGAGAGACACTGTTACTGAGAGACACTGTTACTGAGAGACATTGTTACTGAGACGTTGTTACTGGGAGAGATTGTTACTGAGAGACATTGTTACTGAGAGATTGTTACTGAGAGACACTGTTACTGAGAGACACTGTTACTGAGAGACATTGTTACTGAGAGACATTGTTACTGAGAGACACTGTTACTGAGAGACATTGTCACTGAGAGACATTGTCACTGAGAGACATTGTTACTGGGAGAGATTGTTACTGAGAGACATTGTTACTGAGAGATTGTTACTGAGAGATTGTTACTGAGAGAGATTGTTACTGAGAGAGATTGTTACTGAGACATTGTTACTGAGACATTGTTACTGAGAGAGATTGTTACTGAGAGATTGTTACTGAGAGACATTGTTACTGAGGGACATTGTTAATGAGATTGTTACTGAGATACATTGTTCCTGAGAGAGATTATTACTGAGATTGTTACTGAGATTGTTACTGAGAGATATTCTTATTGAGAGACCCTGTTACTGAGATTGTTACTGAGAGAGAGATTGTTACTTAAAGAAATAGTTACTGACAGAGACAGTTACCGAGAGAGAGAGAGACTTACTAACTCCGAGGCTGTTGATGACCGAGAGACTGTTGTGGACTGAGAGTCGGTGAATGAGAGAGAGAGAGAGAGAGAGAGGCTGAGAGTCGGTGTTGACTGAGTGACGGAGCAGGTTACAGAGACTTATTGGCCGAGACGTTGTGTGTGTGTATTTGGCTTTTCGGAGAATTGTTGGATTTAAGCAATGGCTAATCTCGCCGTCACACAGTTACTTTTCTCTCGGAATCTCAGCTAAACTTTAGCATTAATGGAATTGTCTTGAATGTTCCTGGAGGCAGCAGAGGACAGGACGGGGAGTTGGGGTTGGTGGGGCAGAGGGTGGTTCTCACTGACAGTCAAAGGTTCAAGTTTCACCAGCACTGGGTGAGAAATCCAGGTCCATCGATGTCTGTCCAAATCCTCTCAAGAGACAATCATGAGCTAACGTTATCGCGAGGACTTATAACTGTCCGTGACTGTTATCAGCCTCTGAGAGAGACTGTCTGGGTCAACATGATATGATGCAATTTGAAGTCCTTTAGTATTTGGAGCTCCCGCCTCGCAAGCGAGAGGACCGGGCTCCATCCAGTTCTGTTTATGGGACATGTGGCTGTTTGCGGACACTGATGTGTGCAGTCGGCTGCCGCGTTTCACCCACGGAATACAGTCTCCTTTGTGTCACAGTGTATCCTGAGACGTAGTTCCGACATGAGAAGTCATCGTATTGAATACAAGGATTATTATTATTATAAGTACAAGTCGCTGTTGTCAGCCCGGACTGTGAGCTGGAGCTGCTGACGTGGGGGGTGGGTTGAACCCACAAACTGTCTCCGAGTTGGAGGTAAAAGCACCAGTGACCGAGCCAGGCTCCCTCTGACCTGTGATCCATATTTACAGGACTTTAATGATCAGTTTTGTTTGGTTAGGGATAACGTTAAAGATTAAAACATTCCTGCTCCTTGTGTAACGCTAATGTGTTGCTATGGTTTTTTCTACTTAGAAACAATAAAACCCCCTCACCTTCGCTCCCCTCCCCACCTCCCCCCCCCCACATTCTCGCTCCCCTCTTTCTCATGTGTATAATCATGGGGTCACGGAGCAGGAGAGGACACGAGCTGCAGAGTTCTGGATGATCCATATATGAACCTTTCGAACATTCCACTTAACCCAAGTGCACGATTACACAATAATTGGTTAAGTTTGAAACAGAACTTTGTAAACAAGCCATTGACACTTGTACAGCTGCCCTAACACGTGCTCATTCGACACGTTTACATACGGTTAAGTCAGTTAAACACGTGGAAAGCGAGAACAAGCGAGGACATGGGTTCAATTCCCGGGCAAGTTAACTTAGCAGCAGTAAGTAGGATTGTTAGTCGATTGACGGATCGCTTTCCAGGGTTAATGATCCCTCCAAAAAAAGATAAAATTGGTAACTCAATCCACGACTGTTTGTGGGGACTTCGCTGTGTGCAATTGGCTGCCGCGTTTCGCCCACAAAATAGTCACTACACTTTACTGTGTGTCCTTGAAGCTCTTTTGAGACGTCTCAACAACATAAGGCGCTGCATCAAATGCAAGGATTATTATGATAAACCATCGGATATTTGGCTGTTTGGAATGGAATGCGCTCTCTCTCTCTCTCTCTCCTTGGAGGGGCGCCTCCTGTCTACCTAATTCCGGAGAGTATTAGGCGCAGGTTGGCAAGAGCCCAGTGTTGGGGTAACTGCTGGAGTCTACCCAGTTGAAACCAAATGCCACTTAGCTACACAGGGCAAGGAGGTGGCAGTGCTCTCACACTGACCTGTGTTGCCCACCACGTAGCTTGTTCCTGGTACTTACCTAAAGTCAACGTCAACAAGACCGAGGCTCCCGCCAGCGCCTCCTCACCTCAGGCGCTGACAGCATCACCATCCATGGCCGCTCACTCCACCGCGCTAAGCCAGTCCCGAACCTTGGGGTCTTGTTTGACCCTCAGCCATCCTTTCTACCCCACATCTGGTCCATGACCCGCTCTGCCTTCCCCCACCTCCCCAGCATCGCCCGTCTCCACCGCTGTCTCATATCACAGGCCCCCGAGACCCTCAAACACGAGTTCATAACATCCTGACTATGCAAACTCCTTGACATACGGGAAGAACAAGGAGGCCACAGAGACATGGGGGGGAGGGGGTGGGGGGGGGGGGTGGGGTGGGGGGGGGGGGGGGACACAAACAGGAGGAACAGGGAGGCCATTCACTGTTGGCAGTTCATCGTTTATTGAAGGTGAAATATTGAGTCTTTCCACAGAGACACAGACACAGCGATCGATACCACAGAGACATGGTTTACTGCCGGGGGTGGGGGCTGCCAGGGAGGGGGGTCGCCAGGGAGGGGGGGGTCGCCGGGGAGGGGGGGTCGCCAGGGGAGGGGGGTCGCCAGGGAGGGGGGTCGCCAGGGAGGGGGGTCGCCAGGGAGGGGGGTCGCCAGGGAGGGGGGGTCACCAGGGAGGGGGGGTCGCCAGGGAGGGGGGTCGCCAGGGAGGGGGGTCGCCAGGGAGGGGGGGGGTCGCCGGGGAGGGGGGTCACCGGGGAGGGGGGTCGCCAGGGAGGGGGGGGTCGCCAGGGAGGGGGGTCACCAGGGAGGGGGGTCGCCAGGGAGGGGGGTCGCCGGGGAGACCAGGACTGGTACCACAGCCACCAAGACTGTTGCCAGGGACAGTGATCAGTAACTAAGGGCTGTAGTGATCAGAGTATTGATCAGTCTCCGGAGCTCTCTCCCACATCCGCATCGATGATCGGGGGATTGATCAGCGATGAGGGGTGGGGTACTGATTAGTGTTTGCCGGTATTGATCTGTGATCAGCCTCTTGGGGAAGGGAGTATTGATCAGTGATCCGGGTCAGTATTAATCAATTTCTAGCAAGGTATTGATCAGTGGTTGAGGGGAGTATTGATCAATGATCAGAGGAAAGTATTGATGATTGATTGGGGGCATAGAAGGGGATGGATATGGATCAGCCTCTCCCTCCCCCACCCTCAGTCCTTGCTGCTGCGTGTGATCAGGGCGAGAGAGGGAGGGTGGGGGGGGAGTATTGATCCGTGATCAGGAGGAGATAGCGGGGGAAATATTGATCAGTATCTATCGATCAGCCCGGCTCAGTCCTTGTCGCTGGGGGTGAGGAGTGGGGGGTATTGATCAGCCTCTGGGTGTATCGATCAGTCATAGAGAAGGGGATGAATATTGATCCGCAGCCTCAGTCCTCATCGATGATTTAACTGCGGGGTATCGATCAGTGGTTGAGCAGAGGGTGAATATCGATTACCCCCCAAACCCCCCCCACCCCCCACACCCCCTCCTCAGTCCCGGTCGATGGAGGTGATCGGCGATTATCGATCCGTTCGCCCTCAGTCCTCGTCCCCGGGGGCGATGAGGCCCTTGTCGGCGAGTTCGGGCACCTCGACGGCGAGCCACGGCGCGAGGCCGAGGGCCAGGAGGTGCGCGAGGCCGAGGCGGGGCTGGTGCCGGGCCCAGAGCGGCTGGAAGTGCCGCGAGAGGCAGACGCGGCCGCCGCGGTACATTTTGGCCGTCTTCCCGTCCAGGCCCGGGAGCGCGGGCTCGGGGGCGGCGGCGGGATAGGCCGCGGGTACCGTCAGCTGCAGCCGGAAGCCGTAGCGGAGCAGCCGGTGCACGGCCCAGCACCGCCCGGACCAGCGCGTCCCGTCCGCGCTCGCCTCCAGCCGGAACCACCCGCCGCCCGGGCCCGAGGCCCCGCCCGCGGCCTCGCGGCTCAGCTCCACGTAGCGGATCAGCGCCGCGTACTCCTCCCGCAGCCGCCGGGCCCAGGCGGCCGGTCCCGAGCGCGGCCCCGAGGCCTCGCGGAGCAGCGGGATCCCGGCCGCCTCCCCCCCGAGCCCCGCCGGCCCCGGGTCCAGCTCCGGCCCCGGGCCCCGGGCGGCCCGCGAGGCCTCGGGCTTTCCTGCCGGTCTCCTCCCGCCGCTCGGTGTCCTCCGGCCCGCGGGCCCGACCGCCTTTTCCGGTGTAGGCCGCGAAGCCGCGGGTTTTCCTGCGGGTTCGGGCTCCAACCGCAGCTGCTGGAGTTTAGGCCCCAAAGCCTCGGGCTCGAGTACAGCCCCGGACTCCGCCGCCGCCGCCGCCTCCTCGTCCTCCTCCTCCTCCTCCCGCCGCCGCTTCTCCTCCTCGTCACTGGACATGACTGACCCCTCCCCCCCCGACACTGACCCACACACACACACACAGCGCCGCTGAACAGCCGCTCAAACCCTCATTAAACAACTCCTCCCCTCACTGACTGACATGGCCGCCCCCCCCCCCCCCGCACTGCCCCCGCACTGCCCCCGCACTGCCCCCCCCCCCCGCACTGCCCCCCCCCCCCCCCGCACTGCCCCCCCCCCCGCACTGCCCCCCCCCGCACTGCCCCCCCCCCCGCACTGCCCCCCACCCCCCGCACTGCCCCCCACCCCCCGCACTGCCCCCCCCCCGCACTGCCCCCCACCGCACTGCCCCCCCCCGCACTGCCCCCCCCGCACTGCCCCCCCCCCCGCACTGCCCCCCCGCACCCCCCCCCCCCGCCCCCGCACTGCCCCCCCGCACTGCCCCCCCCCCCACTGCCCCCCCGCACTGCCCCCCCCCCGCACTGCCCCCCCCCGCACGCCCCCCCCCGCACTGCCCCCCGCACTGCCCCCCCCCCCGCACTGCCCCCCCCCCGCACTGCCCCCCCCCCGCACTGCCCCCCCCCCCCCCCCGCACTGCCCCCCCCCCACTGCCCCCGCACTGCCCCCCCCCCGCACTGCCCCCCCCCGCACTGCCCCCCCCCCCGCACTGCCCCCCCCCGCGCACAAACATAAATATAGAAACGTAAATGTGAGTTGTTGCTGTTGTCTATTGAAACCAGGTGTAGACACACAGCGCCACCTGCTGGTCAGCTATCGCACTGCACCACCTTGTGTGACTGCGCCCCCACACTCTGTGGAGGCCTTGAGTTCAGGGGTTAGACCCCTCCCTCACACCCCACAGCCCCTGTAGCTCAGGGGTTAGACCCCTCCCTTCGCACCCCACAGCCCCTGTAGCTCAGGGGTTAGACCCCTCCCCTCCCACCCCACAGCCCCTGTAGCTCAGGGGTCAGACCCCTCCCTCACACCCCACAGCCCCTGTAGCTCAGGGGTTAGACCCCTCCCTCGCACCCCACAGCCCCTGTAGCTCAGGGGTCAGACCCCTCCCCTCACACCCCACAGCCCCTGTAGCTCAGGGGTTAGACCCCATCTCACACCCCACAGCCCCTGTAGCTCAGGGGTTAGACCCCTCCCCTCACACCCCACAGCCCCTGTAGCTCAGGGGTTAGACCCCTCCCCTCACACCCCACAGCCCCTGTAGCTCAGGGGTTAGACCCCTCCCCTCACACCCCACAGCCCCTGTAGCTCAGGGGTTAGACCCCTCCCCTCACACCCCACAGCCCCTGTGACAGAAAGAGAGAGAGTGTGACTGAGGGACACTGCACTCCGAGAGAGAGAGAGAGAGAGAGAAGCAATGGATAATCTGGACGCCACACATCAGTCACTAGTTATCTTTCTCTGGCTATCTCAATCCTAAACCTGGTTTGCATGGAATTCTCTTCTGGAGGCAGCGGAGGGGAGGAAGCTGAGATGTGGTTGGTGGGGCCGAGGATGTGTATCTGAGAGACGATCGAAGGTCTACGAGGAAGAGGTAGAAACTGGGCAGATAATCAATCATATTAATAATATTGCAGCTGGTGAAGAAACTGGGGTTTCGGGCAGTGGCTGCTGGAAGGCGTTGGCTCGAGTCTGAGTTTGTGAAAACACGTCCAGCGCTTGAACCCACCTGGTTTGGCTGCGGAGACAACAGCAGCTTCTGCTTAAACTGCACCCCTCCAACTGGTGGAACCATGGCCGAATGGGACGGACCATGTGTCTGAGCTGCTGACAGCAAGATGGTGGCAAAGCTCTCACACTGAGCCGTGTTGTCCATTGAGAAACTCATACCTGCCGTCCCCTGAGTTAGGCTCAAACCCACACTTGTCGGGTGCCAAACGACCAACTAGTGACTGTCCTCTTGGGGCGTGGGGAGAGGGTAATCGGGGTCTCCTCGAACGTGGCAATCGAGACCCCCCTCTATGACGGTCTTTAGTCCCGGTTCCTGAGCCAGAAAGGTCTGCAGTATCCCGGGGCACTCGCTGCTGATGGCAGCACAGCCCGGCCCGGCTCATCAGCAGAAAGAGGGGATAAGATTTGCAGAAAGACATCAAGAATGAATAGGAGGAAACTGTTTCCTCTGCGGGCGGGTCAGTGACCAGAGGACACAGGTTTATGATAAATAGCAAAAGAACCAGAGGGGAGACGAGGAGACTGTTTTTTACACAGAGAGTTGTTACGGTCTGGAATGCATTGCCTGAAAGGCCGGCAAGGGGCAGATTCAATAATAGCTTTCAAAGGGGAATTGGATGGGTATTTGAAAAGGAAACACGTGCAGGACTATGGGCTGAGAGCGGGGGAGTGGGGCTAGTTGGGGTAAGAGCGGGGGGAGTGGGGGCTATTTGGAGTAAGAGCGGGGGAGTGGGGCTAGTTGGGGTAAGAGCGGGGGGAGTGGGACTAGTTGGGGTATGAGCGGGGGGAGTGGGGGCTAGTTGGGGTAAGAGTGGGGGAGTGGGACTAGTTGGGGTAAGAGCGGGGGAGTGGGACTTGTGGTAACTCTTTCAAGGAGCTGGTATAGGCACGATGGGCCGAATGGCCTCTTGCTGTGCTGTACGATTCTATGATAAAATACATAAAAGGCAGAGTTAAGCAGGAATAAGAGGCGTCGGAGAGGGAGGGAGGGGGCGGAACATAGGAACAGGAGGAGGCCAGTCAGCCCCTCAAGCCTGTTCTGCCATTCTATGAGATCGTGGCTGGTCTGAACCTCAACTCCATTTACCCGCCTTTGCCCCGTTTCCCCTGATCCCCTGACCCACAAACATCTCCACCTCAGAGTGGGGTGGGGGGGGAGAGCGGAAGAGGAAGGGGTTAGGAGGCGAGAGGGAGGGGGCTTGACTTTGGATCACGTAGAGAGAAAACCATAGCAACACATCAGCTTTACACAACGATCATTAGGAATCAGGAATGTTTTAATCTTTAACGTTATTTCCTAACCAACACATGTTGAGACTTTGCCCTCGACAAAGTCTGTGACAAAATGCTCCAATTGTGGAAGAGAAAAAAGCTCTGTGAACCTGTTTCCCACCCACTCGCCCGACCCCTCCCAATCTCCATCACCTCCCTCCCTCTCCCGTCTCCTCCTATGCCCGTGTCAATTATAATCATCCTTGATATCACCTCAGAACTGGCTCCAAGGTGACCTGCCAGCCAATGGAATGTGGATATCTAGCCCCCCACCCCCCGATGGTCTCTCTCTCTCTCTCTCTCTCTCTCGAGCCCCCCTCCCCACTCTGACGATCTTGAGCCCCCGGTTCCTGAGCCAGGAGGGGCCGCAGGGTCCCAGGGAACTCACTGCTGATGGCAGCCCGGCCCGGCCCGGCTCAGACTTGGGCAGGACCTGGAAAGGGCCGACCAGTCACTGGGGGCAGAGAATCCTCCCCCTCAGCTCTTGGTAACCCCACAGCCAAAGCCCCAACTAACTAACTCGCGCGGAGGGGGGGTCCCAGCTGGACAAGCAGCGGGAAAGCTGCCAGACATCTCTCGCTCTCTCTCTCTCTCGATGGCCGAGCTGTGTGTGGGTTTAGCTAGTTAGAACCCAGCAGTTACCCCCAAAGCACAATCTGGACTTGTTCCCCCCCCCCCCCCCCCGCCCCCCAGCCTTGGCTCACACCCAACCTATGCCTAATACTCCCTGGAATTAGTTAATAATAATAATAATCTTTATATTTGATACAATGCCTGATACTCTCCGGATTCCACGATCGAGTGTGGGACATCGCTGGGCCCAATTGGCTGCAGTGTTTTGCTCAGAAAATATATATCATCCTGTGAAGCGCTTTGAGACGTTGCAAAGACGCAATGAGGGGCTGTATCAAATTAAGGATTATTATTATTATTAAGCTATTATTATATCAGCTCCTCTGTAGCCTGTCACATCAGAAGGACGTCTCAAGGCCTTGCAAGACTTTGTGGACACCCTGTCCTGTCCTGTCTTGGACAAGATGAAATGGCTCCTGTGTCTCTCGCCCGTGTTCATGGCCACCAACCCCGGCACTTACCCCCCCACCCATCGCACCCAGGCTAGGGTCAGGGGCTGGGGGTCAGGGGCTGGAGTCAGGGGTCAGACGGTGTGTTTCAGCAGTGAGATGTGAGTTTCCGGCAATAAAATCTCTTGTTTCTTCTGTTCCTCGCTGCCCACCAGCCCTGTGACCGTCCTGTGGAGGGAGACCAGGAGAGACTCACACAGAGGGAGGGTTTGGGGGGGGGGGAGCAGCAGGTATCCTGTAGCTCAACGGTTAGAGCACTTGCCTCACAACGGAGAGGACCTGGGTTTGATTCCCAGGCGAGTCAGCGTGAAACTTTAGCCAAGATTCATTACTCCACACACTCTGTTTACCAGCAGTCAGTAGGAACCGTTTGTTAGTCGATTGGGGGATCGCTTTCTGGGGGTAATAATCTCTCCAAATGAATAATAATTTGGTCACTCAATCCACGACTGTTTGTGAGACGCTGCTGTGCACAATTGGCTGCCGCGATTAGCCCACAAAATACACACAGTCACTACACTTTAAAGTGTCTCCTGTGAAGTGCATTGAGACGTCTCGACAATGTGTGTCTGAGCCAAAGGGCTGTGTGTGTGTGTGTGTCAGAGCCAAAGGGCTGTGTGTGTATGTGTCTGAGCCAAAGGGCTGTGCTGGAGACTGACCTGCTCTCGATGTCAGGGATGGTGTCTGGTAAGGCCAGTCCACGGGTCTCTGGGAGGAGGGTGGCCAGGATTCCCGCCAGGACAGGCACAGCTCCGTACAGCAGCCCAGGCACCAGTGGGTACCTCTCTCCGGTCAGCCTGGCCAAGGGGGCAACTAGCCCCCCCACCCTCGCCATCGTGGCCATCAAACCAAAGGCCGTCTGTCTGTGAGACATCATCAACATCAACCACTTCAACATCATCAACAACAACAGCAGCAACAACAACATCGACGACAACAACAACATTATCGGTATCGTCATTTTTATCATTATTGTTATTGTTATAATATTATTGTTATTATAATAATGTACAGGGAGCTCACTGACCTGAGCACTGTGGGGTAAAGCTCTCCACTGTACAACATGACACAGGAGAAACATGCCGACAAGCAGCCTTTACCAAACACAGCCAACCCTGTCCTTACTAACTGCAGCTCTGAAAGGGTTAAACACCGATCGTTAAACATCTCCCACAAACATACGCACACAATAAGACATCAACAACAACAAGATTGCATTTATAGAGCGCCTTTCACGTCGGGAGGACGTCCCAAGGCGCTGGGACATCATAATCATTAACATCATCGTGTGTGTCAGACACCCGACTGGTCACGGTGACGGGTTTCCGTGTGTGTGTCAGACACCCGCCCAGAGTCGGAGGGGGAAGATGGGGGAGGATCAGACGGGGGAGGGTTGTGGGGGGGGAGATGGTGGAGGGTCGGAGGGGGGGAAGTCGGAGGGGGGAGAGGGGGGAGGCTGACCCTCACCTGTGGGGATGCAGACATTAATGAGGATCACGGCACCGGCTAGAGTGAGAGTCGAGGCTTGTGTCCAGCGACGGCCGAGGTAAGTGATGCCGAGAGCTGCCAGGGTTTTAGCAGGAAAATCCACAGCCCCGAATATCACCTGAAGCAGATACATGTTCACCCCAAACCCCTGCAGCTCCATCACCAGCCCATAATAACCAAAGTTACAGGCAAACCTGGCGAGAGAGGGAGAGAGGCACTGTGTGTCTGTCCCACTGGATCAGGAGGAGGCCATTCAGCCCCTCCAGCCTGTTCCGACATTAATCCTTCATAATAATCTTTGCATTCGATACAGCGCCTTATCACGTCGTTGAGACATCTCAAAGCGCTTCACAGGATACACTGTAAGGTGTAGTGACTGTGTGTTTTGCGGGCAAAACGCGGGAGCCAATCGCGCCCGGCGACGTCCCCACAAACAGCCGGGGATTGAGTGAACAAATTATTATTATTTTGAAGTGATTATTACCCCCAGAAAATGATCCCCCAATCGCCTGACAACCGGGTTCCTACTGACTGCTGGGGACACAGGCGCGTGTGCGTGTGTGTGTGTGTGTTTATCTGTTTGTGTGTATATCTGTCTGTCTGTGTGTGTGTGTGTGTGTGGAGTAAGGAAACTTGCCTTAGGTTTTGCCCTGACCTGACCTGACTGGGAATGGAATCAAACCCGGGTCCTCTGGCTTGCGAGGCGAAGGATATAACCACTGAGCTACAGGACTTACCACACACACATGGTACAGAAAATATTCCTTCTCATGAGAGGGGTACGGAACAGGTCGATCAGACTGTGGGACCCCCCGGTGACCAGGACCTCCTTCCCCAGACCGGCTCTCAGTGTCTGCAGCGAATCACATCACACGTCACCAACTCGTCTGAACTTCAACCAGCGAACAGTGACGAGAGAAACGTCATCGCAGTAATCTGGAGCTCACACACGTGCATACGCTCGGCGGGCTCCGGCCTGCTCCACGTCCCCCGCCCTCCCCAGCCCACCCCAGCCCAGGCCTCCCCACCATCCACAGTCAGGCCTTCAGCCTCTCTGCCCCCACCCTCTGGAACTCCCATCACACAGTCACTTCGCCTTGTGGACCCACCTGACTCCGGAACCAGACCAGAGACCGACACAGAGGATCACTTTGATCAGCACCATAGGAACTATAGGAACAGGAGGAGGCCATTCAACCCCTTGAGCCTGTTCCAATCTATTAGATCATGGCTCATCTGTACCCCAACGCCAATTTGAGATCTTCACCATTAGATGTTTAACGTCCATCAAAAACCAGATGGAATCTCCGACAAAGCAGCGTCTCTCTGTCTGTCTGTCTCTGTCTGTCTGTCTGTCTCTGTCTGTCTCTCTGTCTGTCTCTCTGTCTGTCTGTCTGTCTCTGTCTGTCTCTCGCAGTCTCTCACTCCCCTCAGCTCTGGGCTGGAGTGTCAGTCTACTCAAGAGTTCCAATTGAGGAAAGTAACTGCTGTGACACCGACCCACCCACCGACTCACCGCGGCTGTGAGTTTGCTGCCCTCGGCCTCCCTGCCATTCAGCCTGGCCACTCGCTTCAGCTGGTTCACGGCCACATCGGCTTTGTCGTTCATTATCAGCCACCGTGCCGACTCCGGGAACCACCTGCCGGGGATCGAGGGGTTAACGACGACAGCAACAACAACAACGACGACAGCAACGACAACAACAGTGTCCAACAACTGTTTGTGGGGACGTCGTTGTGAGCAATTGGCTGCCGTGTTTTGCCCACAAGATACACAGTCACTACACTTTACAGTGTGTCCTGTGAAGCGCCTTGCGACGTCTTGAAGATGTGATGAGGCGCCGGGTCAAACACCACGATTATTATTATTATTAGACTGCTGAAGGGGATAGTTTTGCTGTCGAGCTCATGCTCTGAACGGTGTCGAGTTATCAGGAGCACAGGCGTGAAGTGTTGAGTTACCAGGAGTACAGGAAGCAGATGAAGTAGGGAGCGGAGATGGTGAATTGGAGCCATCGCCAGTGCCTAATGGTGAAGGCCAACCCGGCCAAGAGCAGCTGACCTGCCGCGTAGCTGTAGCCATTCACTATGACCACTGAGCTCCTCATGTCTGTGGGCAACCATTCCACCGCTACAGAGAGACAGCAACAGCAATCAGTCTGCTCCCGGTCTCCACAGCTCCCCCAACTGCTTCCCACCTCATCCCAACCCTCCCCACCTCATACCAACCCTCCCCACCTCATCCCAACCCTCCCCACCTCATACCAACCCTCCCCAACTCATCCCAACTCATCCCAACCCTGCCCAACTCATCCCAACCCTCCCCAACTCATCCCACCTAATCCCAACATTCCCCCAACCCGCCCCACCTCATCCCAACCCTCTACACCTCATCCCAACCCTCCCCACCTCATCCCAAACCCTCCCAACTCATCCCAACCCTCCCCACCTCATTCCGAACCCTCCCCACCTCATCCAGAACCCTCCGCCCCCTCATCCCAACCCTCCCCCCCTTCACACTTACTCCAGGAGAAAGCGTTGAGAACGATGCCTGACTGAGCTGCTCCAGTCAGGAACCTCCACAAACAGTACAGAGAGAACGAGGAGGAGAGCGCGGCGCACGAGCCGGCCACTGCCATCAACAAACAGGACCCCAGCAGCACAGCCCTGCGGCCCAGCCTGGACACAGCAAACACCATCAACACCGACACCGTCAACACCGACACCGCCAACAACAATGTGATTGATATCTACCTGTCAGACAGACTTCCCAGGACCAGGGCTCCCACCAACACCCCCGCCATGTACACAGACTGGGCCAGAGGTTTCAGGGCCTTGTGACTGCAGACCAGGTCCCACTGCAGGAGAGAGAGAGAGGGATCATTCTGTCAGGTCACCTTCTCACCCTCCTCATTACATCAGCCCGGCTCTGTGTGTGTGTGTGTCTGTCAACCCGACTCAGTGTGTGTGTGTGTCAGACCGGCTCAGTCTGTCAACCCGACTCAGTGTGTGTGTGTGTCAGACCGGCTCAGTGTGTGTGTGTCAGACCGGCTCAGTGTGTGTGTGTCAGACCGGCTCAGTGTGTGTGCATATTCTGTGAAGAGTTTCGTGACGTCTCAACGATGTGATGAGACGCTGTAACTAATGTAATGATTATTATTATGACACAGACACTCTCTCCTACCTTGGTAATGATGGTGGTGGTGACACAGACAGACAAACACACACACAGACAGACAGACACACACACGGACACACACACCTCACTGATGATGGTGCTGGTGACGTCCCCGTGGCTGTACAGCCATCCGTCCGTACATGGCCGTGTGGTGGAGCTGCCGTCCTCGTGGGTGCGGTTGGAATCCAGGAATTGCCACTGAGGCTCAGCAAACAGCCGGCACCTCTCCGGGCGGCCCTCCCTGTCCAGGGGGATGAACACCGGCAGGAGCAGCTCCTCGGCCGGCACTTTGCCCGTCACGTTCCCAGGACTTTGCCGGGAAGTGTTGCCGAGGGCGTCCGCACGGCTACGGCAGCGGTGATCAGGAACGGCAGCCACGAAGTTCTGTAGCAGGTTGTGACTGGCCATCAGGCAGATGGGAATGGCTAACAGAGCCAACTGGACAACCTGGAATCTCCCCATCCCTCCCACCTGCTCCAGAACCTCTGAGAATCCCATGGCCACCTCCCAATCTCTAGCCAATCTCCCCTCCCAACCTCTCCCCAACTTTCCCTCCCAATCTCTCCACAACCTCCTCTCCCAACCACAACACAGCGAGGAGCAGAGACACCAACTGACTGACCACCACCAATTGTGCCAGCTTCTCTCTCTCTCTCGTTTCCACCCCAGACAATTTAATCTGGTCCAAAATCGCGGTCCTATTTAAATCCCTGAATTCAGTCTCCCCTCCCCCCACTCCCCCTCCTTTCAGGTTAACCCCCACCGTCCCACAACCACTTCACATCAGACTCTGGCTGTGATTTTTTTTTAGCTGGTTAGACTTCCAACGCAAGCCTTGGCTCTCACCAACCTGCGCCTAATACTCTTTGGAATTAGGTAAGCGGGGGGGGGGTGTCCCTCCAGGGAAAGAGAGAGGGAGAGAACATTCCATTCCAACAATCTAGAGCCGAGGCCATTTAGGAGAGGATTTGGGCAGTTTTTCACCCAAAGCCCAGTGGGAATCCCTTCCTTCCTCCCCCAAGAGGCTGTGGATTATGGCTGTGGATCCATTCACATTGTCCAGACTGAGATGGATGGAAATGTTTGTGAGGCCGGGGATCAGGGGAAATGGGGCAAAGGCGGGAAATTGGAGTTGAGGTACAGATCAGCCGTGATCTTCTAGAATGGCAGAACAGGCTCGAGGGGCTCCTGTTCCTGTGTTCCTATAAATGGACAGATTTTCGGGCAGCGTGTTTCAGGGTTAAGCGGAGCAAGGTACAGATTACACAGCGCTGGGAGGTTCACAACACGGGCTGTGTTTTGGGGCCTCATTAGCCAGGCTTAGAGAGAGAGGTGACGACAATTGTTCAGCCTCTTTAACAAAACATTAATCCGGGGAAACACAGGCGCCTAATTCCGATAATCACGAGAGGAGAGATCGCAAGCTGGTTGTTAGTGTGTCAGCCTGTACACGTGTGGGGTTGGGTTAGAGAAGCTGAGAGATACCCAAGTGGTTGAATAATGTGATGACTTTGACGTGAAAATCTTTATTGTTTGACCCGCAACTTGTCCTTAATATCACAAATAACAATCCTTGTCTGTGGAGCCGTGTGAGAGAAGATTCTCCACGGCACAATACTCCTTTGTCAGCCCAGCTCGGTCTCTTGCCTCCAAATCAGAATCCTGCCACGTCCCGCCCACACACACACAGTCACTACACTTTAGTGCATCCTGTGAAACCTTTGAGACATTGCTACGAAGCGATGAGGGGGGGGAAAGACAAGAGAGTTTCTCTCCCTCTCTCTCTCCCGGTGTCCTGGCCGACAGATAAAATCAATCGCTGGCTTCACGGCTGTTTGTGGGGACGTCGCTGCGAGCAAATCAGCTGCGTTTGTTGACCTACAAGTGTGAGAGAGAGAGAGAGAGATGTGTTATGAAGTGCTTTGGGACGTCTCCTCCTGACGTGAAAGTATCATTATAATAATTATTGTTCTAAAATTATTAATGATTATAATAATAATCCTGGCATCTGACCCAGCGCCTGATCACGCCTTCGAGATGCCTCAAAGCGCTTCACAGGATACACTGTAAAGTGTAGTGACTGTGTGTGTGTGTTTTGGGGGCCAAACGCGGCAGCCGATCGCATCCAGCGACGTCCCCACAAACAGCCGTGGGGTTGAAGTGACCAAATTATTATTATTGTTTTGAAGGGATTATTACCCCCAGAAAGTGATCCCCCAAACGCCTGACAAGCGGGTTCCTACTGACTGCCGGGAACACAGGCGTGCGTGCGTGCGTGCGTGTGAGTGTGTGTGTGTGTGTGGGGGGGGGGGGGGGGTGTGGAGTAAGGAAACTTGGCTAAGGTTTCGCCCTGTTCTGTCCTGCCCGGGAATCGAACCCGGGTCTAACCCCTGAGCTAAAGGGGCTGTGTTTCGTGAGGGGTCTAACCCCTGAGCTACAGGACTCGCGACACAAACACACACACATTATAGCGAATATTCTAAGCTCTGTTATCAATAACAATAGCATGAATTACCTGTGTTAGTGGTTGAACGGGTGAGGTTGAGGGTGGGGTCTGTTCGCTCAGGGTGGGGGTGGTCTCGGGCTTGGGGGTTGCTCTGTGACACCAGCCGGCTCCAGGCTTCCAGAACGTTCCTCTTGTCTGCGGGGTCGAGGCGCAGGGAGTGGGGGTGGCGCTGGTGGATGTGGCGTTTGATGGTGCTGAGCTTCATGGTGGCAAGTGTGGAGCCACACACCATACACAGCAGCCCGTGGTTAACACCGTCGTAAGCCATGAGGTACTCCCCCCGCCAGCGAGCCTGATAATTCCTCTTGTGGTCTCTCCACCGCGACAGCTCGAGCTGAAGCCCGAGCCCTCCCTCGCCCCCCAACCCCTCTCCCCCACCCCCTGTCTCCCCGCTCGGAGACACCGGCAACTCGCCAGCGCTCGCTCTGTATCTCTCCATCGCCGTCGACCTCGTTCCCTCCATCGTCACGTCCGGCAACCTCTCCCCTGCAACAACAACAACAACATTAATATCAACAACAACAATAATAATCCTTGTATTTGATACGGTGTCTCAAAGCGCTTCACAGGATACTTCACTGTTAGGTGTAGTGACTGTGTGTTTTGTGGGTAAAACGCGGCAGCCGATCGCGCTCAGCGACGTCCCCACAACCAGCCGTGGGTTGAAGTGACCGAATTATTATTGTTTTGAAGGGATTATTACCCCCGAAAAGTGATGCCCCAATCGCCTGACAACCGGGTTCCTACTGACTGCCGGGGACACAGGTGTGTGCGTGTGTGTGTGCGACGGGGGCTGGTGGGGGTATGGAGTAAGGAAACTTGGCTAAAGTTTCGCCCTGTTCTGTCCTGCCCGTGAATCGAACCCGGGTCCTCTGGCTTGCGAGGCGAGGGGTCTAAGCCCCCCTGAGCTACAGGGGCTGTGGGGTGCGAGGCGAGGGGTCTAACCCCTGAGCTACAGGGGCTGTGGGGTGCGAGGGGGGGGGTCTAACGGGAGTTTGATGTGAGTGCGGCGCTCGGCGCTGGAGGAGGGAGGGGGAGAGGTGAGGAGGGGAACAGCTTTTGACGGTGGTTCCTACCTTCACTGCTCCACAAGTCCAGGCCCTCGTCAGCTCCGAAGGCCCCGTCCCCCCCCTCCTCCTCCTCCTCCTCCTCGTTCTCCGCCCAGGCCGCCAGTAGGTCCCTCCTCTCGGCCGGGGCCAGGCCCAGGGACTGCGGGTGGCGCTGGCTGATGTGGCGCTTGATGGTGCTGAGCTTGAGGGTGGCCAGAGCGGCCCCACACACCATGCAGACCAGGCCGTGCCGCCCGCGGTCGTAGGCCATGAGGTAGTCTGCCCGCCAGTGTCGCTGGTAGTTCCTGCGGTGACGCCTGCCGGTCAGGCACCAGTCGGCCCCCAGGGGGGGCCCCGAGGCCTCCCAGGCCTGCAGGATGTTGTGTCTCTCCTCCCCGCTGAGGCCGAGCGAGTAGGGGTGGTTCTGCCGGACGTGGCGCCGGATGGCGGAGACGGTCAGCGTGGCCAGGGCCGAGCCGCAGACCAGGCACACCAGCTCGTGCCGGCGCCGGTCGTACTCCATCAGGAAGTCTGAGCGCCAGCCCGGCTGGTAGCGGCGCAATCGGCGACCGGCCCCGGCCACCGCCCGCAGCTTGGGCAGCAGCCGGCAGGCCGGGCTGACTGACCGGGCGCCCGACCCCCACTCCGCCCGGTCTTCCTTCTTCACGCTGGGCCTCGCCGGGGTCTCTGCGAGGAGGGGGGGGGGGTGGGGGGGGGGAGAGAGAGAGGGAGGAGAGAGAGGGTGGTTAGATAATAATAATAATCCTGTCATTTGATCTCAGTGCCTCATCACGTCGTTGAGACATCTCGAAGCGCTTCACAGATTATACTGTAAAGTGCAGTGACTGTGTGTTTTGTGAGTGATGTCCCCACAAACAGTCGTGGGTTGAAGTGACCATATTATTATTATTTATTTGAAGGGATTATTACCCCCGGAAAGTGATCGGCCAATCAACTAACAACCATTTCAGACGATAACATGGGTCACAGAGTGTGTCTTGAGTGTGTGTGTGTCTGTGTGTGTGTGTCTGTGTGTGTGTATGTCTGTGTGTGTGTCTGTGTGTGTATGTCTGTGTGTGTGTGTGCGTGTGGGGAGGTGGTACCTGGGCTGAGCTGTACATTGTTGTCGCTGGGGGTGTTGGCTCTTTGCTGCTCTGGGCTGTCTGTCATCTCCACTTTCACCTCCGCTGTGCTGAGCTGTGTGCCCAAAATGCGCCTCTCTGTGCCCACACTGCGCCTCTCTGTGCCCACACTGCGCCTCTCTGTGCCCACACTGCACCTCTCTGTGCCCAAAATGCGCCTCTCTGTGCCCACACTGCGCCTCTCTGTGCCCACACTGCGCCTCTCTGTGCCCACACCGGGCCTCTCTGTGCCCACACTGCGCCTCTCTGTGCCCACACTGCGCCTCTCTGTGCCCATACTGCGCCTCTCTGTGCCCACACTGAGCCTCTCTGTGCCCACACTGCACCTCTCTGTGCCCACACTGGGCCTCTCTGTGCCCACACTGCGCCTCTCTGTGCCCACACTGCGCCTCTCTGTGCCCACACCGGGCCTCTCTGTGCCCACACTGCGCCTCTCTGTGCCCACACTGCGCCTCTCTGTGCCCACACTGCGCCTCTCTGTGCCCACACTGGGCCTCTCTGTGCCCACACTGCACCTCTCTGTGCCCACACTGGGCCTCTCTGTGCCCACACTGGGCCTCTGTGTGCCCACACGGTGCCTCTCTGCGCCCACACTGCGCCTCTCTGTGCCCACACGGTGCCTCTCTGTGCCCACACTGGACCTCTCTGTGCCCACACTGGGCCTCTCTGTGCCCACACGGTGCCTCTCTTTGCCCAAACTGGGCCTCTCTGTCTCACACTGTGTGATTTGTGCTCTGTGCTGTATGCACTGTCTCTGCCTCTCTGTGCCCTCTCTCTGCCTCTCTGTGCCCTCTCTCTGTCTCTCTGTGCCCGCTCTCTGCTTCTCTGTGCCCGCTCTGTCCTGTGTGCCCTCTCTCTCCCTCTCGGCCTCCCTCTGCGCTGTCTCCCAGGTGCCGATGGCTGCCAGTCTCTGCGCCCGGCTCAGGAGCAGGGAATGGTGATGCCGGTGGAGGATGTGGCGTTTGATGGCGCTGAGCTTCATGGTGCTGAGGGCGGTGCCACACACCATACACACCAGCCCGTGCCGGGCACGATCGTACTCCATCAGGTAATCATCCCGCCAGCGAGCCTGGTAACGTCGCCGGTGATTCCCGCTGGCTCTCCCGAGCACCGGGAAACTCCCAGTAACTGGTCCCAACACGTACCAACCCGCAGTCCCTGCGGGAGACACAACAGCCGTTAAACGAGACACCGGAGATAATAATAATAATAATCCTTGCATTTGATATAGCGCTGTTCACGTCGGGAGGACGTCCCAAAGCGCTTCACAGAACACACTGTAAAGTGAATTGACTGTATATTTGTGGGCGAACGCGGCAGCCAATGCGCACAGCAATGTCCCACAAACAGTTGTGGATTAAAAATGACCAATTTATTATTGTTTTGGGTTTTGGAGGATTATTATTAGGCTCTGTGTGGAGTAAGGAAACTTGTCCAAGGTTTCCCGCTGCCGGGGATTGAACTCAGGTCTCTCACTTGCAAAGCGAGTGCTCTAACCACTGAGCTACAGGACTCCGGGAACCTCACTCAGGCAGGTCAGGCAGCATCTATGGAGAGAGGAAAACGGGGCAACGTTTCGCAGGTACCGGGGCACGCGCGGGGTGGGGGGGAAGAGGCTTTTGAGGGCGAACGGAAATGGAGGGAGTGGGGAAGGGGAGGAGGGAGGAGAAGGAAAGACAAAGGAGAAAAAGGGGGGTAGAGGACACGGGGGATGATGGGTTAAAGAGGTGTTAATGGTGCAATGTAAAGCGGGGGGGGGGGGGGGGAGAGGGGGTGGGGGAGCAGAGGCCGATAAGAGAGAGAGAAAAGGTGCGACTGGGACTCAGATGATGTGCTGATGGGTCACAGAGGAGGGTGGGGAGAGGGGGAGGGGGGGTGGGGGGGGAAGGGAGACGGGAGCTGTTGTTATGGTCTGAAATGGTTGAACTCAACACCTGGGCCCGAGCAGATACTTGAATGGCTGTTCCTCGAACTCGTCCTGAGCTTCACTGGAAACAGCATCAAATATTAATATTATTTACTGGCTGGTGGTCCAACTACCGGCCCGCGGGCCACATCCGGCCCCTTAGGCCGTCCTGATCCATTTGCACTCCCCCCACCCCTCAAAACCCTTCCCCCCCGCCCACCACCCGCCTCCATTTCATTTAGCTCATCCACTCATCCTCTCCGTAACCCATAAATGGTAGAAGGAGCACAGGAACAGGAGGAGGCCATTCAGCCCCTCGAGCCTGTTCCGCCATTCTATTAGATCATGGCTGAATTACCCGCCATTGTCCCATATCCCTTGATACCCTAACCTCACAAAAATAATAATAATAATGATAATAATCCTGGAGTTTGACCCGGTGCCTCATCACATCGTCGAGACGTCTCAAAGCACTTCATAGGATAAACCGTAAAGTGTAGTGACTGTGCGTATTTTGTGGGCGAAACCGGCAGCCGATCGCGCCCAGCGACGTCCCCACAAACAGCCGTGGGTTGAAGTGACCGAATTATTATTACTATTTAAGGGATTATTAACCCCAGAACAGCAACAAACAACCGGGTTCCTCCTTAGTGTTAGGTAAACAGAGGCGTGTGTCTGTGTGTGTGTGTGTGTGCGCGCGTCTGTCTGTCTGTGTGTGTGTGTGCGCGCGTCTGTCTGTGTGTGTGTGCGCACGTGTCCGTCTGTCTGTGTCTGTGTGTGTGCGCCTGTCTGTCTGTGTCTGTGTGTGTGTGTGCGCGTGTCTGTCTGTGTCTGTGTGTGTGTGTGCGCGTGTCTGTCTGTGTCTGTGCGCGCGTGTCTGTCTGTGTCTGTGCGCGCGTGTCTGTCTGTGTCTGTGCGCGCGTGTCTGTCTGTGTCTGTGTGTGTGCGCGTGTCTGTCTGTGTGTGTGTGCGCGTGTCTGTCTGTGTCTGTGTGTGCGCGTGTCTGTCTGTGTCTGTGTGTGTGCGCGTGTCTGTCTGTGTGTGTGCGCGTGTCTGTCTGTGTCTGTGTGTGTGCGCGTGTCTGTCTGTGTCTGTGTGTGTGCGCGTGTCTGTCTGTGTCTGTGTGTGTGCGCGTGTCTGTCTGTGTCTGTGTGTGTGCGCGTGTCTCTCTGTGTCTGTGTCTGTGTGTGTGCGCGTGTCTGTCTGTGTCTGTGTCTGTGTGTGTGCGCGTGTCTGTCTGTGTCTGTGTGTGTGCGCGTGTCTCTCTGTGTGTGTCTGTGTGTGTGTGTGTGTCTGTGTGTGTGGAGTAAGAAGATTTGCCTAAGGTTTCTCCCCGCCCGACCTGCCCGGGAATCGAACCCAAGTGCTCTGGGTTGCGAAGCGAGAAGACTAACGTTACAGGACTCCAAATACAAGGATTATTATTATTATTATTATTATTGTTATTATTGTTGTTGCAGCCGATTTGCACACGTTCCCTCAAACAGGTTTATCTGTCGGTCAGGACACCGGGAGAGAGAGAGAGAGAGAGAATGGGTAGAGAGAGAGAGAGAGACGTTGACAAGACGAGGGAGGGAGGGAGGGAGAGAGAAGGGGGGAAAAAGAGGGAGAGGGAAAGGAGAGAGAGAGACCGTGACAATGACGACAGATTAAAAAATATAAATCTCCTTTGTCTCAGTCCAGGGCGAAGGAGGGAGAGAGTGAGGAAGAGACGGAAGAGGAAGAGAGGGGGAAGGAAGGAGAGCGAGAGCGAGCGAGAGAGAGGCCTCCGGAGTTACCCCTCCCCTCCCCTCCCCTCCCCTCGGTTACCTGGGGCTGTGCTCCCCGTCTCCTCTCTCAGCGTAGACGGAGAATTCAAATCCATCTGTGACCGTCTGTGTGTGTGTCTGTGTGTGTGTGAGTGTCTGTGTGTGTGTGTCTGTGTGTGACCCCGGGCTGTGTGTGTCTGTCTGTGTGTGGGGGTCTCTGTGTGTGTATGTGTCTCTGTGTGTGTGTGTGTGTCTCTGTGTGTGACCCCGGGCTGTGTGTGTGTGTGTGTGTGTCTGTCTATGTGGGTCTATGTCTGTCCATGTGTGTGTGTGTGTGTGTGACCCAGGGCTGTGTGTGTCTGTCTGTGTGTGTATCTATGTGTCTATGTGTCTGTCTATGTGTGTCTCTGTGTATATGTCTCTGTGTATATGTCTGTGTGTGTGTGTGTCTATGTGTCTGTGTGTGTGTGTCTGTGTGGAAGCCTTGTGAACGGGGAGCTGGTGTGTGTGTGTGCGTGTGAGAGAGAGAGAGAGAGAGAGAACGAGATAGAAAGAGAGCGCGCGGGGCCCCACCTTAGGGGCCCCTCATCTCCGGCTCCTGTGAAATGACAGAGAGAGAGAGAACGAGAGAAAATGAGAGAGAGGACGAGAGAGAGAGAGCGAGAGAGAGAGCGCGGGGCCCCACCTTAGGGGCCCCTGCGGAGAGAGAGCCCCTATTCAGGGGCCCCTGGTCTCTGGCTCCTGCGGAACGAGAGAGAGAGAGTGAGATAGAATAAGAGAGGGAGAGGGAGAGAGAGATAAAGAGTTGGGAGACGCTGTATCAAATGTAAGGATTATTGTATGGAATCCTCGGATGGTATTGATCCCGAAATCCCGGGATTAGTCTCTTGCTCTCTACGCACCACATTAACACACTCACACACTCGGAGAGAGAGAGAGAGAGAGAGAGCACATGGGGCCCCGCCTTAGGGGCCCTTCATCTGTGGCTCCTGCGGAGAAAGAGAGAGAGAGAGAGAGAGAAAGAGAATGTAAACTTTGAAGGGACAGACACGCACACTCACACACTCGCTCACACTCACACTCGCTCACACTCACACACTCACTCACACTAACACACTCACTCACACGCGCTCACACTTACACCTGCTCACACTAACACACTCACACTAACACACTCGCTCACTTGCTCACACTCACTCACACTAACACACTCACACTAACTCACACTGACACACTCACACCAACACACACTGACTGACACACTCGCACACACACAAACTAACCCCCACAGAGACCCCCACACACACTCACTCGCACACACACAAACACACACTCACACCAACCCATACTCACTCGCACACACTCACACTAACACACTCATTCGCACAGACTCACTGACGCACTTACACACTCACATACACTTGCACACACACTCACACATACTCGCACACACTAACACACACTGACTGATACACAAACACTCATCACACCCACTCGCATTAACACTCACAGACACTCACTCACTGACTCACTCACTCATTCACTCACTCACTCACTCATTCACTCACTCACTCATTGACACACTCACTCATTCACTGACTCACTCACTCACCGACACTCACGTATTGTGTCCGGTTCCCGCTGGCGATGATGAGCTTCGGCCGCTGACCCGCGGTGGCCTTTCAACCTCTCAGCCTGGACTGACCATAACACTGTCCCCCCTTCGCCATGAGGACCCTCACCAGAGGGCTAACCAGGCCTTCACCTCTCTCACCACCTCCATCTCGCCCCCTCCCTCCACCCCTCCCTCAACCCCTCCGTCGCCTCCTCCCTCTGCCCTCCATCTCGCCCCCTCCCTCACCACCTTCAAGACCCTCCTCTTCGACCGTGCCTTCGACCTCCCTCCCCCGCCCCGCCCGGCGCCCCCACCCTCTCCCACCCCTGACCCCAGATCAGGTCCATAATTCTGCCTATGCAGCGCCTTAGGACGTCCTCCCAACGTGAGAGGCCTTCACACCAGGTCATTGTGTTGTTGTTGTTGTTGTTGTGTTATTGTTGTTGGCCACTGGGCGGCGCTGCAGCTCCTTTACCCTGTGTTTGGCGGCGGCTCCACAACTCAGTGGTTAGAGCAGTTGGTCCGGTAAACCAGGGGCCGTGAGTTCGATCCTCACCGGGGTCTCGGCTTCCTCTATAGAGAGGCCAGCGGGTCAGTCAGGGGGTCAAGTGGGACTTTATACCAATAATAATATTATATTAATTCATATTATATATTTACTCTATATCATATTAATATATTGTGTTAACAGTAAATATATTTGATATCATCAATATATCAATTTATAGTATTATATCTTTATTATATATCAGATTAATATACTATTGAAACATTTCTTCACTCAGAGGGCAGTGACTTTATGGAATTCACTCCCCCAGAAGGCTGTAGATGCTCAGTCAAGGCTGAGACTGAAAGATTTTTTAAAAAATAGAGGGATTAGGGGATATGGGTAGAGGGCGGGTAATTAGAGTTAGGTCTGAAGATCAGCCGTGATCTTATCGAATGGCGGGGCACAGGCTCGAGGGGCCGAATGGCCCACTCCGGCTCCTATTTCTTATGTTCTTATGTGTGCAATTGGCTGCAGCATTTCGGCCATAAAATATACAGTCACTAAACTTTACAGTATGTTCTGTGAAGCGCTTTGAGATGGCTCAAAGATGTGATAAGGCGTTAAATCTATTTTAAGGATTATTATATTGTATATCGACAACATCAATTTATATCGTTCACCATAACATATTTTATACAATTAGTAAAATCAATCTATTTTATATCATTAATCACCCGCAGCTCAGCAGATCTTTATATCATCATTATTATTATTATTATTATTATTATTATTATTATTATTATTATTATTATTATATCATTAATGTATATTATATTAACATAATACAGCAATTTATACCAGTAACATTTCATATAATATATTAATATAACACTGCAGCTCTTTATATCACTAACAATAAAATATTCACATCATTAATAAAATTTTACATCATATATTAATAACACTGCAACTATCTATATCATTAAGAATAAAATATATTTATACCATTAATATATTAACAACAAAATAATCCATTTATATTGTATTTATTAATATAATTATATTGAACATAACACAGAAGGCATTGATATCGTTAATGTGAACTATTTATTTAATAATAATATTCTATGTGGTGTAATAATTATTAATATAATGTACAGTAATTGACCATTACTGTCTGATGGCTGATGGACAGCGCCGCCTGGTGGCTGCGGGTGAATGACCAGAGCGGCGCCACCTGTGGTTGCGGAGCTGTCCCACAAAAAATTCCGGAAAGTGCCGAGAATAGCCGAAGGGTTCGCGCCTGCGCAGTAGTTGAAGCGGCGAGGTGGGCGGAGATTTAACTACGTCACGTCGCCGAGGGGGGGGGGGGGCGGAGTCAGTCGGAGAGCCGCTCCGGAAAGTGCCGAAGATTGGCTCGGGTGCATAGTGAGTGCGTGTGCGCGCGCGCGCGCGCCTGCGCACTGACTGGGTAAAGTGTGTGTGTGTGGTGGGGGGGGGGGTCCGGAAAGTGCCGAAGATTACCGAAGATTGCCCCGAGGCTGGCGAGAGCTGCCTGGCTGTGGGCGGGGGGGTATGTGTGTGCGCCTGCGCACTGGCTGGCTGGCGGGCGGGCGGGAGCGAGCGCTGGCTGCTCGCGCTCCTCAGCTTTTCGTCCGCTCCTCGCGCTCTCCTCAGGCGGTTGGTCTCTGTCTCTCTCTCTCTCTCTCTCTCGCGCTTCTCACTCGGCGCCCGGGAGTCCTGAGGAGGGGGAGGAGGAGGAGGGGGAAAAAAAGGAGGAGAGCGGTTGGGTTTGGGCGGGTGGGGGGGAGGGAGGGAGGGAGGGAGAGAGCCGCGACCGGAGCGAGAGAGAGAGAGAGAGAGAGAGTGAGTGTGAGAGACCGAAAAAGAAGGAAAGAAAAGTAACTGAAGTGTTTTTACTTCCCCCCTCTCCTCTCCTCTCCCCCCCCCCCCCCCCCCTCCCCGGTTAATCGATTAAGCTGATCGATCAGGGCCGCGCGCTGTGCAGATCCCCTCACCGGGAGGCCCCGACACAAGCCTCGGGCTCGAGTTGGGCACCTTCCCCCTCCGGGCGGCGGGGTGGTGGGGGCGGCTTCACTGCGAGACCCGCTCCAGATGTGAGTGGGGGGGGAGGAAGGCTTCGTCCTTCCTTTCTTTTTTACTGTCTCCTCCTGTGGGGTTGTTTTTTTTAAAAAAAATTATATATTTTTTAAATTAAATTGGCTTTGGTTCTCTCCTGTTTTGGGGGGAGAGAGGGGGGGGGGTCCCCTTTTTTTTTCAAATGTGTTATTAATTAAATTGGCTTTTTTTCCCCCTTGTTTTCTGGGGGGGGTTCCCTTTTAACATTAATTTGGATGCATAACAATCCCTCTTTAACCTCCTCTCGAAGGTAATTCATCAGTAACTTTAAAAGGGCTTTTTTTTTGACTCCCCCCACCCCATAAACTTTTTATATATATACATAGAGAGAGAGAGAGAGAGAGAAAGGGGGGGGGGGAAGTCAGCTTTTTTTTTAATACATAAAAGAGAGAATTGGAAGGAAAGAGACGAAAGATTAGGTTTAAAGAGAGGCGGAAGAGGGGGAAAGTTTGTTTAAAAGATTAAAAAGTTCCAAAGAGTGACCGAAATTGCCCCCCCAACCCCCTCCTGTCTCCACAGTTGTGGTTTATACTCCTTCTCCCTCCCCCTCCCTCCCTCCCTGACCTAGTTTTAAAAACAATTTTTCTTATATATTTTTAAGAGAAAACTTTCTCTGGTCTCTCTCCCTTTTTTTTAACTATCTTTGCGGTGGTGGGGGGGGGAGTGGGAGGCAGAAAACCAATCCTGTTGTAAATAGTCTTCATTATTTGGTTGAGGGAAGGGAGGAGGGAGGGAAGGTGAGAGTAGTTTTTGGGGGTTTGAAGGAAGGAAAAGTTCAGCTTTCAGTCCGTCTTGGCCTGGAGTCGCGATGTCCACTCGAACACCATTACCGACACTGAACGAGGCTGACCAGGTAAGGCTCTTCTTCTCCACCTGTCGCACCGGTTTGCGGTGCGTGGCTGCCTGCGGGAGGGG